ACAGACGGTATCTAACAGTTAAATATAGTAGTCATAAGCCTGTTCTAGAAACTGAAAAAATGATAAATGGTGAATGATAAGAAAGTACAACTAATGACAATAATGTAGGAATATATTAAAAAGCAAAAAAGTACAGCAAGTAGCACAAAAAAAAAAAAGATACTTTTACTCTTAAAGCTATTGATTGATACCACGCTTGAATGCTTTTTCAGGATTGCATTTGGAATACTTAATAAAACAAATTATGAAGAGAGGTTTAAGCTCCATAACGCAGTGTGGCAGAAACAAAATGTTGGTAAAACTTAGTAAAATGTTTTTAAGAGAAAACGCACCCCACAAATTAAAACAAAATGTGAGCGCTAGAAGAAACCAAATTTTATAACAAAATGTTGTGTAATACACGAAGAGTCAAATTCTGTTTGAAAAGAAAAAAAAAAAACAGAGAACACCAATAGCATCGAAATAGTTTCTCACTTCCATGAAGCCAGCGCTTGAACTGGTGCTAGGCTCTGAAAATTTAAACTATTCAGGTAAAAAAAAAGCAGAAATTGTTCCAAATACCAGTATCTTCTATGTGCATTTATTCTCAACATTTCCTCAGTTTTACTACAGTAGCACTAATTCAGTGATATCAAATTTCATGTAAAATTCACTCCTTCTACTTATGACTTTACTAGTAAACATACTAGTTATACAAAAATTGGTTTACACTACAAACCAAAAAAAATGATAGTAATAATAAGAAGAAGATACTAAATGGTAAGAAAATTAGCTGAAAAGTCTTACCGTTACATCAGAACGACCATTTTTGGTGGCAATTTCGCCATTCGCTTTGAAGATTATTAGTGCTGGAATTCCGGAGACACCTAATTTGTTTGCCGCTTGTCTGCAAGTTTAAAAAAGAGAATTAACTTTATGAAAGTATTTACTAAAAGATAAAACAGATGTCAGTAAAACGTAAAACTGGACAAGTTAAAAAAAAGGTTTTTTAAAAGGTGACATGAATGTAAAATCCTAAAACTGTCAAGCTCTAAATGCAGTTAAAATCTTTCAACTTTCTTAATTCAATCAGGAAAGAAGAAAGATCAGATTCTTTCCGATAGTGATCCAAAAATATCCTTCGCTTCCTTCGTTAATCTTTAGAGAAAAGTTCCTAAAAACCTTACTGTATAGAAGGATCACCAAACGGTACATAAAACCAATCCCCATGCGATTCAGAAATATACGCCATCTGCTCCTGTTCACTATGGTCGAATGAGGCGAAAACAATTTCAAAGCCACTATCACAAACTTCTCCATAGAAATCCTGAAAATGATTGTTTTAGAAATACCTACCGGCATACTGGTCTATTATAGCCTCGCTGAGAAAGCTCATTAATTACTGATTTCCATTTCCTCATATAACTACCATATTATTTTACAATAAAACACATTTTGTACCTTCAAGACTGGTGTGAACTGACGACATGGCGGACACCAATGCGCAGAAAAATACACTCCCACAATTTTGCCCTGAAAAGTACTTCAAGGTGCTAAATAGGGTCAGCACTAAGACTGTTACACTTATTTGTTTAAAGTAGTTAGGTAATTATTCATATTTTTATCAATTTCGAAAAAAAATAATGAGAACAAAAACTTTTATATTTGTATACAGTCTTAATTTTATATATAAGAATACTTACTGTGCAATATTTTTTTCAGAATACTAGTTTTCACGCAATCAAAGCATCCGGCTTAACCCAAATTACCAAAAGTGTTAACTACAGCCCCAGCTAAATTATAAGACAAAAATCCTTAACGCCAAAAAAATACAAATAAGTAAGATAGCACATAATTACTATTCCAGAAGTTTCATAAATAAACGTACTTTCAACTTTAATCTAGCTGATTTACAATGTGAAACTACTGTCTTTGAATAATCTTCCTGATTTTTTTAAAAATTCCGCTTTTCCTCTTAAAAAACATTCCGTCAACTAAATGTTGTAACTAGACTATATTAATTTTTAATACTTTAAGGAAAGTAGGTTTTGAAGCTAAAAACGTTTTTAATTATTAACCCGAAAAGTGTCGAGTTTCCTACATATGCTTTTTGTCATAAAGATCATCAAATTCCAATTAAAAATAAAAAAAATGAGTAAGTAAAGCAGATACAACAAAAAAGAAAAAAAAAATTAATCTTTAAAAAGTAGAAAATTTTTACTATGTTATATATCAAACAAAATTTTTGCAAAAATGTAACCTGGAATAGTTGATTTCCCATCATTCTTGTCCCATCTTTCTTTCTCAGTTCAGTCTTTCCAAAAAATTGAGCCATTTCCACTTCTGACAGCTAAAGCCCAAAAGAC